CTTCCTTCTCTTCCTCTTCCTCTTCCTCTTGTTCCTCCTCTTCCTCGTCCTCTTCCTCTTGTTCCTCCTCTTCCTCATTCCCTTCGTCCTCCCCTTCCTCCAGTTCCTTCTTTTTGTTCTCTTCCTCCTCTTCGTACCTCCATTCCGTTGTTTGCTTTGTGTCCTCCAAGTATCTCCTCCTCTCCTTGGGACGTAGCTCTCACACTATCTCTCCAGACCGGGTGCACGGGCCACCCCACAGCGCCTGGAATTCTGTCTGGGTCGCCTGACTGGGCTTCTGGGCACCCCCAGTATTGAGTCCTCAACGACCTCGAATCTATTTTTGTGCTGTGAGCAGCCTCCCAGGAAGTCGATAATTGGGGGCGGGAAGGTCCACTTTCTACTTCGTTGTGTTTTTCATATCTAGGGCATCGATAGATCAGATCGATGACGCGGACACGATCCCGGATCTGCATTTGAATCCTGGGCAAGTCCGCATGCACCCTGTAGCCCGTTGTTTCCCTGCCATGCACCTATGTCACCATGCAGCCCATCTTATGCTTCACCTCCGAGCACAGCCTCCCCCAAATACTCACGCTACTATGCCTCACGTCCGAGCACGTCCTCCCCCCCATACACTAGAACTAGCTGGTTGACGTTTCCCCGCTCCCGTATGCTCGACCAGCGTGCCACTCCTTTCGCAGGAGGCGTGTCAGTAAGTACTGTCTAGATTTCTTTCTCTTTCTTGGTATCTTTGCACAACTAATGAGCCACACCCTTCGCTGAATTCCTCTTCCGTGGCATCCGTTCTCCTTCATCGCCTTCCTCCTTCCCCATCGCCGCCCTCCTCCCACTCCTTCCATCGCTTCCCTCCTTCCCTGCCTCCCATCGTCTCCCTCCGTCACCGCCTGCCATCGCGTCGCTCCTCAGCCACCTCCCATAGCCTCTCTCCTCCAATCGCCTCCCTCCTCAAATTGCCTCCCTCCTCTTATTGCCTTCAATCTCGTCCCTCCCATTACCTCTCATCCCCTCCCATTGCCAGCCTCCTCTCGTCTCCCCCAGCCCCCCTCCCCAGAGCAAACAGAACTAACCATGCAGGGGAAAAACGCCGGATTTGTGTCCTGCCAAAGTGCAGTAATGTCCGACGGTCGGAAAAAAGAGGGTCGACTTCCACCACACACAGGGTACCCTGGGCGATGGGCGATACCCTACCCGGGAGTCGCGCACGGGTGCCCTGCTGGGAGCTGCCTGTCTGAGCACTCCTGGAAAGCTGGCTCTCATGGAACAAAGTGCTTCCCAATGGCTCCCTCCTTCCACTAAGTCTCTCCTCTTGTTGCCTTCCTCCCTTCCATTCCCTCTCCTCCCTTCCCATTGCCTGCCGCTGCCTCCCATGGTCTCCCATTGTCTCCCATTGCCTCCCATTGCCTGTCTCCTGTCATCCCCGGTGGCCCCCTCCCCAAAGCAAACAGAACTTGACGTGAAGGGGGAAAAAGGCCGGATTTGTGGAGTACTGGCTAGCCCTATCTGTACCCCTATCCCTCCCTTCTCCAACCATTCTGCCCATCCATTTCCACAGCATCCTGACCTACCCTACAAGGGGAGTTTCGCTGGCGAACAATTTCCTTTTTTTCTCAATTTTACAGTCCCCCCCCCCTTCTATAGAATATTTGGACTGTGAAGCTGGTCTTCTTTATTCAATGCACTTGGCAAGAGCTAGTGCTTCTTCCTTGTTGGCTCACCTTCCCGTGCTGTAGAGTGCTGATAACTGCCCTACACCCCTTGCCTGATGCCTTCCGGGCGAAAGCAATTTTGCGGAAAGTGACCTTTCTTTTCACAATGATCAGGAGGTCTGTCCATGGTTCAGTGGACACGTCGTCCAAATTGGCCGGGATTTAGCCCTTTGGGGAGACGACCCTGGGTCTTCTTCATAGAGTGCGGTTAGGTCCCGTTTTGGTAATGGCAGACTATTTCATGGCATTCAGTTTTTCATCTTCTAGATTTTTAGACTCCAGGGATGATGAAGAGCAGCCTGTGCTGAAGCCCAATTCTATATCGTCATCTAGAGTAGAGTCATCTGCAGACTGGTCCTCAGCCTGCACCTGGTCATGCACTGCAAGACGGTTGCTGCCTCCATACCGTTTGCAAGGAAAAGTCCTCTTGGCGACCACTCCGCAGGCGTTGTCTAACGCCTCGAGCTGAACTACTGATTTCGTTAAGGCTTGCCAGTCTGAGAATTTCTGCAGTCCTAGCAGGTGAATGTATTCAGCAGGAACAATACTACGAACAGAATCCAAACAGGCAGTGCTGTTCATCTCAAGGCCTTCAGCGGTAAAGAGTTTAGGAAATTCTTGCTCCAAGGTCTTCGTTGTGCCCATCCACTGCTTATGTTGTGTGCTGCGCTTGCACACGGCCCCCATTTGAGGGGCCCCGATGCTTGCTGAGGGGTCCCCACGCCGCGTACCATACAGCACGTGCCCTGGAGGCCCACGGTGGCCCTTCAGGCCCTAGGTAGCACATTAGTTAGAATAGGTTTAGTTTACTTACCTTTCTGTGTGTGTGTGCTGTCTTACCTTGTCTATCAGGTGCCGTTTCGGACTTGCAGCCCCAAGGCCTGACCTTGGGACTGGGCACACCGGAGGCAGGCCTGAAACGAGGCCAGGCGCATTTTGGCGCCAAACAGGCGTCGTTTTGGTCCTGCAGGTCCCAAGGCGACACCTTGGGCTAGGTGCACAGGTACCGGGCCGTTTTTAGGCCAGACACGTTTCTGCGCCTTGCTGCATCAGCAGCACGGTTTGGACGTCCGGTAGGGACCCAGACCATCTGGGCCGTTTTCTGAGGCCAGCATCAGGTAGGCCCAGCCGGCCCAGCACTACAAATAGCTGGGCAGCGGCTGCACAGGGACAGTTCGAGTAGCTCACTTCTGGAGCGACACGCTGCTGGTTGAAGCAGCGTTATTTCTGCGCCATGCTACGGAGTAGGGAGTAGCGGAGTAGGTAGTGGAGAGAGGCGGAGACCTTACCTGCATGCGACGAACTTACCTGGCGCCATAGCTGGGCTCCGCGCAGTACCTGCACACGACGAAGACCACAGTCAGTACGGTGACAGCTACCTGCAGGTGAGATAGCAAGGAGGACGTCATCTTGTTCTTCTTCCTCCATCTCTCTCTCTATCTCCTTTCTCCTTCTTCCTTTGTACAGGCAGAGGTTAGGTTGGGCACATTGCCCAGGATCTGATTCGACATTCTGGGACAGACATTGATTGGACACTCGACAAGGGACTATTTTTGGGATCTTGGTCTACTCCCTCGCCTCTTCTCCTTCGTCTTGTCCCCTTTCCCCCATCTCTCATCCGTTGTATGTCCTCGGAGGGACCTTTCTTTTGTGATTGCGGTCCCTCCTCCCTTCTCACAAGTGTGATGCATGATGGATGTCGGGTCAGTCCAGATCAGATCAGATCTTCTCTTTAAGTCTTCCACTGCGCCACTTTGTGCCATCTTGTGTGTATTCAGAATGTACGTTGCTTGTTACAGGTCTCTGATAATTCAGGTGCAAAAATCGTACATTGTATCAAAATCCTGCATCCTTTCAAAAAACAAAGAGCTATTATAGGTGATACTATAATAGTGTCTTTGAAACAAGCACGAATGGGTCGCAACACTCAGAATGTGCTTAAAGCTATTGTAGTGGAAACAAAGCCACCAAATACCGAAAAGATGGCAGTTGATGCTACGCTGACCTTGCATTGTCCATTTCAGTCCTTTTCATCACATTGCGGATTCTTGGCTCCCTGCATTGTCCCGTTGGGCATGCGTCAGTTTGGTATCGCAGCCCCGTTTGTGAATCAGGACAACCTGATCTGACACAAGCGAGGGGACAATGGAAGATCGATTGATTGATTGATTGATTAGGACACACTAATTAGTCCCCAAAATCGCAGATTTTTGACCTAACTGCCGAAATCGAAATTGTTTTCTGGATTTCATCTTCCTGCTATTCTTTCTTTTTGAAAATTGCAATAGCGTAGCATCTGGAATTTTCGTCTTTCTTTTTTTTTAAATTCGAAATTCCGGTGCAGGAAGTCTGGAAATATTACGATTTTTTTTTTCGATTCGTCTTTTCCTTCGCAACTCCTTATTAATTCGAAATTCCATTTTTTTTTTTAATTCATTATTATTTTTGGAATTTTTGTTGCGTTCTTTTATTATTCACGCATTCTGGGGGTGACGGAAATATTGAAATTTGACCGTTATTCCCGAATTCGGAAACTATTTTTATTACGGAAATTCCTCTGTAGTCATTTGGTTTCAAACTGCGCATACTCTCACTCGAGAAATTCTGAATTTTTTTATATGTTTTCGGAATTCTCCGAACTTGTGAAATTTTTTATTTTTTTCACAGTGCAGTTTGAAAATCTCCATTCGTTATTTATTTCTTTTTCTTAGCGGTCTGAAATTCGATTTTTGTTTTAACTACCTGTTGTGGGAAAAATAGGAGTTCTACCGAACTTGCAATCGATATTTTTTTTTAATTATTTAACATATTTTTATTTTCTCGAAGTTTTGGCAGAGTTCCAACTTTTCAGTTTTTGATTAGTGGCTCCTTATCTGGGCGATCTACTCGATTCCCCCACCCCGCCACCTCTTCCTCCCAACTCCTCTTCTTCTTGCTCAACTGCCCATCAGTTCTGGCTACAGCCTTGGTAAGTACCTCAGGCCACGTTAGCCACTCGCGGCGCATGACCCTGCTCACTCGTTCACAGATAGCAGGGATGGATCAGAAAGCCGGCGAGACTGACGAGGCCTATGAGAGATGTTTGGCGGCCATAATGGCCAAAAGCAAGCAACGGGCAGAAGCTTCAGCAGGAACACTGAAGAAGAGAGAGGCAGAGGCAGAGAGGCTGCGTCGGGTAGCCGAAGATCAACGGCAGAAGCACGCAGCAGCAGCAGCAAAGGCTGCCGATGAAGAACGTGTACGGCGGCGGGAGATTCTCTTCAAGGAGGAAACTGCATTACACACGCACAGGCGAAGGATTGGCAGAAGGAGGCCGAGAATGGAGACTTCGTTGAGTACGGGACAAGGATTGCTCTCTTGATCAACCGCGTCACGGACCTCCTCGCTACTTGCATCGCACAGGAGGAGGACATTCACTCTCTCGACCACGCCAATCAGGCGCTGACTAAGCTCATACAACAGCTGGAGCAGCGACCCGTCGCCACCTCCAGCGCCGGCCCCTTCGACCTCGTCGACCGCGTCAACGTCTTGGAGATAGACGTGGGAACGCTCAAGACCGAGACTCAGCGACTTGACCAGCAGGTGGGGTCAGCAGCCACACCGAGCTCAGCGCCTCACGAAAGCATCCCCAAATTTGAGGGGCTCCCGATCTTATGCAATGCATCGAAGACGGAGCCTATACCTTGGTGGCGCCAGTTCGAATTGAAGTTGGACATCCACCACGTTGTCAACACAAACCGGCACGCATACTTGTACTCCCGGTCAGGAGGTGCTTGCCAGGCATGGCTGGACAACGTGTTGTCCGCACATGCATGTACAGTCTCCGAGTTACACAACTTCATCACCTGGGCCGATCTCACGGCAGCATGGAAGAAGCGTTTTCAAGTGGAACCGCCCGAGCACCAGGCGATGGACAAGCTGCTGACATTCACACAGAACAGCATGCCAAGCGGAGATTGGATATCAAAGTTCCAACGCCTGGCGAGCACGCCGAAGCTACCAATGAACTTCGACGACATCAAGCTTTACTTCATTAAGCGGTCATTCCCCGCTTTGCAAAACGCGTTGACTCAAGTCGCCAAGAACCTCCACACAAGTGAGGAACTCTTCAACAAGGCCGCGCAGATCATTGTCACGAACTTGGAAGCGAAGAACATTGGTCGTTCGTCGACATCCGGCCAGGGCGCGCATCAGCATCGATCGAAAGTGGTCGTGGTCGCGGCAGCAACGCCAAGCGACCCTTCAACTTCAAACGAGGCTGCCTCGTCTGACGAGGGAGACAGACTAGCAGCTGCCCAGAATGGTGGCCGCCCCGCCAAAGGACGAGGATGCGGCAAAACGAAGACAAACACCACTTCTTCTGGGCCCGACATGCAGCTCCAGCTCAAGAACCTTGGACACAATACGGTCTGACGGAGCGCGGGTATCGCGTCCGCAACAAGTACGATTATTGTTTGTGGTGCAACCGCGCGGCACATGAGACCGTGAACTATCCCATGAAGGCCAAGGGCCCCGCTCAGTCGGGAAAGTAAGCACTGCCGAGAGTGATGCGACGACACTCTCCACGCCTTCGGAATCGGTTGCCGTACTTGTAACCTCCATCGGTTTCGGGGCACATGCGGAAGTCGTAAGTCCTCCCATTCTTCATTCTTCCGAGGACTATGCTGCCCGGCTCGTGCCTTCGCTGAATTCACGAGCCCAAGGACAAAATGTATGTGCGGTTTTTTCTCCGATCAGAAGCAGCGGCATTACCGGAGCCGCAATGCGCAGCTCTTAACGCTCATCTACGTACATACCTAGCCTTCTATGCACCACCAACTTCGCCGACGGAGGACGAAGTCGCAGTGGGGGACATTCTTGAGTATGTTAGCAAGGTGGCACGAGAGTTTCGCACACAGCGGTACGGCGACAACAACGCACTGCTCCTTAATGTGCGTATCCAAGTAGGGCAAGCGTCCTGCAGCGCTTTGCTGGATAGCGGCACGACTCGCAACTTCATTAGCCAGTCCTTTATGCGAAGGGCCGGTTTTGGCCCACAAGTTCGAAGGAAGGCACACCCTATGACGATCGAGTTGGCGGACAATAGGATGCAACAACTCTTTGATCGCTACATCGAGGCCCTGCCGGTCTATTTCGCAACTCATGCATGCGAACCGGTGACGTTTTACGTTTTGGACACGGACTTCGACATCATTTTGGGCATGCCTTGGCTTGCAAGTGCGGATCACACGGTCAACTTCCATCGGCGGACACTTACGGTCCGCGACCCGTTCGACGCCGAAGTCCCATGTACCATCCCTCTTCCGCACCCTTCAATCCGGTGCCAAGTTGTAATAGCCAAATCTTTTCGGGCCACTTGCGCTTATGAGCGGACCGATGAGATAGGCTTATGTTTTGTTCGCACCATCGCGGCAGCCGAATCTCAACCCACGGACTTGTCTTCGGATCCCCGTGTGGTATGGTTGCTTGACGAATTCGCCGACATCTTCGAGTCACCTACCGGCGTGGTGCCGGATCGACCGATCTCCCACGAGGTCATTCTCCAGGCCGATGCCGTGCCGCCGAAAGGTTGCATTTATCGCATGAGCGAGGAGGAACTTACAGAACTCCGCACGCAGCTCGACGATTTGTTGGACAAAGGCTGGATCCGGCCTAGTAGCTCACCCTATGGTGCGCCTGTTCTCTTCGTGCGGAAGAAGAACAAGGATCTTCACCTATGCATCGATTACCGCAAGCTCAATGCACAAACCGTAAGAACGAGGGACCTCTTCCTCGTATTGACGACCTTTTGGAGCGTTTGGGTGGCGCAATTTTTTTTTCCAAGTTGGATTTAAAGTCCGGGTATGATCAGATTTCGATACGGCCGCAATATCGCTACAAGACCGCGTTTAAGACACGGTACAGGCATTTTGAGTGGGTCGTCACGCCTTTCGGACTCACCAACGCCCCGACGACTTTTCAAGCGGCGATGACCAACGAGTTTCGTGCAATGTTAGACCGGTTCGTGCTGGTCTACTTAGACGACATCCTCGTCTATAGCCGAACCTTGGAGGAACACCTCGAGCATCTTTGACGAGTGTTGGAGACTCTCCGCCGCGCCAAGTATGAAGCCAACCGCCACAAGTGCGAGTTCGTACATCAAGAGTTGGAATACTTGGGCCATTTCGTCACTCCACAAGGCATCAGTCTGATGTCGGACAAGATTCAAGCCATCCAAGATTGGCTGGAGCCACGGAACGTCACGGATGTCCGTTCGTTCCTTGGCCTTGCCGGCTACTACCAACGTTTCATCAAAGGATACTCGAAGGCCGCGGCCCACTTATCCAAGCTTCAATGTGAGGACTGACCATTTGACTTTGGGACGAATGCGCGGGGATCTTTTTTGGCCCTTAAGGCCGCATTGCTATCAGCCGAAGTCTTGCCAATATACGACCCGCTATTGCCAACGCGCGTCACTACGGATGCGCTTGGCTATGGCATTGGTGCCGTCCTCGAACAACATGATGGCGTGGACTGGCACCCGGTCGAATACTTCAGAAAGAAAGTGCCAGTCGAGCATTAAATCCATGATGCACGCAAAAAAGGAACTTCTCGCCTTCGTCCACGCACTCAAGCGGTGGCGGCACTTCCTCCTTGGTCGACGCCAATTCCGATGGGTAACGGACAACAATCCGTTGGTCTTTTACAAGACCCAAGACATCGGCAACAGGACGATCGCCTGTTGGATGGCGTTCATCGACCAGCTCGACTTCTTTCCCGATTATATTCCGGGGACGTCAAACCGTTTCACGGATGCGCTTTCACGATGTTTGGATCACTGCACCGCCGTCTACTCGACCTTCGAGATAGAGGATGACTTGCGGGACAATTTCATCCGCGACTATCAAGTCGACCACGAATTTCGCGACAAGTACGCAAATTGTTCCTCCCAATCCGGCGCCTTCGCACTATCGGATCCAAGAGGGATACTTGCTCGTTCACTCGCGGGGGAAGGATCTACTTTGTGTGCCGCAAGATTCACACTTGCGCACGAGGCTTCTTGGCGAGTTCTAGGACGCCCCCGCCACCGGACACTTTGGAGTCAATCGCACGATTGGCCGACTGCGCGAGCGCTTTTGGTGGCCAGGTCTTCTCGACGACGTCTCTCGCTATTTCGAGTCATGCGAGGTTTGCCGACGCTGCAAATCGTGTAATCATCGTCCGCACGACGAACTGCGACCATTACCGGTTCCCTTGCGCCGAAGGGAAGCGATTGCCATGGACATTACAGGGTCGTTCCCCAAGCACATGACAGGCGTGGATGGGATTCTCATGGTGGTTGACCGACTCACCAAGTTTGCCATGTTTTTGCCTTGCCGTTATCACGCTAAGGCATCAGAGTTGGCCGAGGTTCTCTACGCCGGTTGGATTCAAACCAAGGGTTGCCCCAAGGAGATCATCTGCAGATTAGGAGGTTCTCTACGCCGAGGTTCTCTACGCTGGTCAATTCTCCTTTGGACACAATCATCCCACGGGCGCCCGAGAGCGACGTCCATCTTCTCTTCATTCGTCGAATGCAAGAGGTTCTTCTCAAGGCACGCGACCAGATGTCAAAGACGCAGCAACGCATGCGCCAACAGGCCAACCGCTAACGTCTTCCTTGTCTGTTCCTCGCCGGCGACCTCGTATGGGTTTCCGCTGCGGAATTCAGCCTCGAAAAGATATCTCTCGCAAGCTCCTTTCGAAATCGATGGGGCCTTGGCCGATCGTGGCACCCGCTGGGGACCCACCCGAAGGACCCTCATTTATCATTCAGGTGCCCGCCCACTTGCCCGTCGCTGGTCCAAGTTGGCTCTCTACACGCCAGCGAAACTTGACGACTTTCCCAGGCGACGATCGCAAGACCCAACTTAAATGGACGGTTTCCAAGAGGTTGGTGACATCATATCCCAGCGACGTCACGGCAACATGCCGAATGAATTCTTGATCCATTTTGCATATTACACCCATAGAGCTGATAGATGGCTGACCCGTGCGGAACTTCAAGCAACAGCTCCCGACGTCCTCGCGTGCTACGAACGCAAGTTGCAAGGCAAGCCGACGTCTTCGGCTCCACGTTGCACCCGCGTCCAAGTTCCACCTTCAGATCGTCAGCTTCGCCCTCGACCCGGCTTGACTTCATAAGGAGGGGGGGGTGTTGCATGCTGCGTTTGCACACGGGCCCCATTTGTGGGGCCCGACGGTTGCTGAGGGGTCCCTAGGCCGCGTACCATACAGCACGTGCCCTGGAGGCCCATGGCGGCCCTTCAGGCCCTAGGTAGCACACTAGTTAGAATAGGTTTAGTTTACTTGCCTTTCTGTGTGTGTGTGTGCTGTCTTACCTTGTCTATCAGGTGCCGTTTCGGACTTGCAGCCCCAAGGCTGGACCTTGAGACTGGGCACACCGGAGGCAGGCCCGAAAGGAGGCCAGGCGCATTTTGGCGCCAAACAGTCGTCGTTTCGGTCCTGCAGGTCCCAAGGCAACGCCTTGGGCTAGGTGCACAGGTACCGGGCCGTTTTTAGGTCAGACACATTTCTGCGCCTTGCTGCATCAGCAGCACGGTTTGGACGTCCGGTAGGGACCCAGACCAGCTGGGCCGTTTTCTGAGGCCACCATCAGGTAGGCCCAGCCGGCCCAGCACTACAAATAGCTGGGCAGCGGCTGGTCAGGGACAGTTCAAGTAGCTCACTTGAGGAGCGACACGCTGTTGGTTGAAGCAGCGTTATTTCTGCGCCAAGATACGGAGTAGGGAGTAGCGGAGTAGGTAGTGGAGAGAGGCGGAGGCCTTAGATGCAAGCGACGAACTTACCTGGCGCCATAGTTGGGCTCCGCGTGGTACCTGCACACGACGAAGACCACAGTCAGTACGGTGACAGCTAACTGCAGGTGAGATAGCAAGGAGGATGTCATCTTCTTCTTCTTCCTCCTCCATCTCTCTCTCTCTCTCCTTTCTACTTCTTCCTTCTCTTTCTTACCTTCTTCTTCAGCTACGAGAGTAAGAGAGCATATCAGTAGGGAATACAAGTAGAGGTTAGGTTGGGCACATTGCCCAGGATCTGATTCGACATTCTGGGACACATTGATTGGACTCTCGGCAAGGGACTAATTTTGGGACTTCGCTATTGCGATCTTGGTCTACTCCCTCGCCTCTTCTTCTTCGTCTTGTCCCCTTTCCCCCATCTCTCATCCGTGGTATCTCCCCATGTATGTGTGCGAAGGAGGGACCTTTCTTTTGTGATTGCGTTCCCTCCTCCCCCAGCTATGATGGATGTCGGGTCAGTTCAGATCAGATCAGATCTTCTCGTCAAGTCTTCCACTGCGCCACTTTGTGCCATCTTGTATGTATTTGGAATGTACATTGCTACAACAACAAAAAATGAAGTAATAACAAAGGTCAGATCTAACCAACGGGTCCGGTCAGATCACGCATGAGATTTACTCTTACTTAATCTAACCAAGATCAAAGAGAATGACTAGATCCAATTTAGGAAATAATGGCAGTTGAAGTAATGGTGATTCGAAGGAGTAGACAATTGGGAGCCAAGCGCTGGGCTTAGTGCCAGGATATGAGCCTGTATTCCGGGAGAATGCATCCCAAAGCAACTCCCTGGGATACTGAAAAGGAAAGACAAAGCACATGTGGTCCTTACTCATGTGCAACCGAATTTAGAATGGAGAGATGAAAGCATCATTGAAGGAATAAGCATTGCTAACTATATACTTCACATCTATCCATCAGATGAGGGATGTCCACAAACACATTCCCATCCGCCAAGATCATAGAGAGTAGGAAAAGAACCCCAGCACACCCATCAAGCAATGCAGCGCCATGCACTCACCATTGGCATCCCTTAGTTACACGACACTTGTGTTGGGTGGACTCTTGAGATGAAGAATAACTCACCTCCCCCCCTCTCATACGTCCTCCTTACCCCAATTGGCAACGCGTACTCTAGTGCACGTATCAACCAGGAGAGTCTACTCTACACCAAAGTGCACCGTCACGTGCCACTTCGATGTGGAAGACCAATCAAGAACTCGGAATTCATTCAGTGCTGCCATAGCCACTTCACCACCAAGTTCTGTTCTTGGAGAGAAGCCGTGCAGGCACTTGACGTCCCCCTTGTGCTTAAGAGTGCAGGCGTCAACCTCCACTCACTCTCTCATCCCTCATAACACCGCATATTGATACTCCTTATGTCTTGCCATCTCATACATCCACTCGCTCAACCTGGACAGGGTCAATGTTGACCCTACATGCCCTAGTCCAGGTGGGGGCAGCTCCCACATACCTACCCACCTCACTTCCTTACTAATCAACCCTAAGCTGAAAGTAATTTGCCCTAATCAACTTGTATTAGGGTCAGGGCAACAAGACATCCTCTCGCTAGCAGGTAAGTACCGCTGTGATAGCAATTGTTATGATCGTGGCTATCTTGGAGTGCAACAACTCGAAGAAAGACCTGTCCGATTGCAACTGAAATGAAAGAACTTGGAAAGAGAAATAGACAAAGGAAAAAGAAGAAATAAGAATGGAAGAAGAAGACGATGAACACCAGCAAAGACCATTGTCAATCCCCTTTCATTTCGCCACCGTATTCAACCTCCAATTGCTCCCCCAACTTCTTCTTATATCATAATAATAATAATAATAATAACAATGAAAGAATGAACTAGAACCGTTGTTTGAATTCCTTACTGCCGGCCACTCAATAGGTCCACCATAGCCATCTCATACATCGTTCTCCTACTTGGTTGAGCAGGTGGCTATGGCGGACTAACGGAGTGAAGCTCCGATGTTCAAAGGACGACACGAAGCTGCTGTCCCTCCTAGTATGGCCGCCATGCCTAGCACTACCCTTGAAGTCTTCCTTGTAGGTGCCAACCCCAACTGGGGTTTTAAGTGCAGTGCCAACCTAGAAGACAAAGATGCAGACCAGCATAGCCAGGTAACCCCCCTTGTCGCTCTCCTCCTTGCTCACCGTCTTCTTCCTCCTCCTTCCTCACCTCCCTACTAGCTGCCTCCTTCTTGGGTACTTGGACCGTAGCCTAGGTGAAGCCCAGGAGCCACCGCCTTCCTCCTCCGTTCAGCACTGCCTCAGTTGAGAGGGTGCTCCAACTCCCTGCCCCCAAGCTACATGCAAGCAAATGAGGCAGAGCAGTTCGCCTCCCGGTTAGGTGTACCAGAGAAGTGCCTCCTCGTGCGGTTGCTCCAAGGCCGCATGGCCTCCAAGTCTTCCCGGCACCTCCCACTTTCAGAGGGGAACATCATCACAATCTTATATCCCCTCCTGCAGGCTCTAGACTCGGGCTACTTGGACTGGTACCTTTTTCTCTAAAGCTTACAAGACTCCAAATTCTACTTTGGCCTCCCAAGGTTTGTCTTCTTCTGCCTAGCTACCCACTAGTTGAATGTATTTGGCCTTCTCAGGCCTTTCCTATGCTACTACCCTACTGCGCCGGCACACCAACATGGCCACAGGTAAGTACCAGGCATATGGGCCTTCCCAGCACAAAAGTACCCCAGCGGGTCACACACACAGCCATGCAATCATGCAGACAGGCAAACACATGGGAGCGCAGCAGACACGCACACACACACACCTTTCAAAATCTCAGTAGAATACGGGATTCTTAGAAAGTCACTCAAACAAATGGCACAACTTAGAAAACAGCAGGTTTTCTGAGTCTGCATTTTTGCAGGTCGTTACATTCATCATTATCATCATTCATCATCATTCTTTTGAAGGCGCCAGGAGGCGTGCAGCACCACTAGGCTGCCTACCAGGTGTGAAAAGGCCCAGTTAAACTTGGGCACTGAGGCGACTCGGGATCATGACTAGGTGGGTGACTCACCCTGCTGGGCAACTGGGAAGTCTCTCGGGCAGGTGCCCAGTTATAATCTTAATTAGATAGAATATATGTCTCAATATGTTGTTATATTATATCCTATTAAATTATTTTTCCATATATGTATATTCTATGATACTGCACCGGTCGTTTCCGCCTCTCACTCCTGATTCGCTGTTTCACTTTTCTTTCTGGACTCTTTGTATCTTTTCTCCCTTCCACCCTTGCATTTTCCTGGCAATTGACATCACTCCAAATTGCCCCCGTTTTCTCCCCTGGTTTTCTTTCCTACTGTGTTAAACTTGATCCCAGTCAAGTTCTTAAAACACTCCTCTCCTGAACTATGCTTTTCACTGTACAGTATGTCCCCTTTTCTCTTTCTCTTCCACCTATTACTACAACCCGTCCACGTTCTCCACCACCTCAACCCCCTCCTCATCATCCTCCACCCTCTCCTACGCCTCCGGTCCGCCCACTCTTACACCTCTTTTACTCACTGTCAACCTCCTATTCTACCTCCTATCTAATCTCCACTCCGCCCTCTCCTACACCTCTTCTACTTACACTCTGCCTCCTTCTCTTCCTCCTATTTAATCTCT